GTGTGCACCCCTGGACCTCAACCGCAAGGATCCGATCGCAGTGTGCATCCCTGGACCTCAGCCGCAAGGATCCGATCGCAGTGTGCACCCCTGGACCTCAACCTCAAGGGTCCGATCGCAGTGTGCACCGCTGGACCTCAACCGCAAGGATCCGATCGCAGTGTGCACCGCTGGACCTCAACCAGATAGTTTGCCAGATAGAATGCGAGGTAGATTGCCAGATAGAACGCTGCAAGAAGATATGCCAGATAGTATGCCAAATAGTGCGTCAGATAAATTGCTAGATACACTGCCAGATAGAATGCCAGATGGAATGCCAGATAGAATGCCAGATAAAATGAGATAGAATGCTGCAAGAAGATATGCCAGATAGTATGCCAAATAGTGTGTCAGATAGATTGCTAGATACATTGCCAGATAGAATGCCAGAAAATATGCCAGATAGAATGACAGATAGTATGCCAGACAAAATGCCAGAAGATATGCCAGATAGAATGCCAGGTAGATGCCAGGTGGGGATCACTCGAAGTAAAGTATTTTTTTTTGCCAGAATTGTTTTGCAACATTACATTTGGTTAGTCTTATATATACATATATATATAAGTTCCCTATGTGCCACTGAATTTTCTCGGAACCAGAGAGACCTGAAGGTTTTCAGGCCTTAGCCACGATCTCCTCATGCCTAAATTCATGGAAAGTAGTTGATTTCGGTTGTCACAATAGAAAGATACAGCCAGTTAGTCAGTTAGTCCTAGATGTTTTTTTTTTTAAACGCGACATCTCTCACTTTTGGTAGGCTTTTCTGATTTGCTGATCCTTTGTCCTTTGCTTTGTTCAGATGCGTCTAGAGGAGTCGTTACTATCATGATCTTTGCCATGCTGTTTCTGTTTTTTTCCTGTAGGGTTTTAGTCAATCTTGGACTAGTGGTGATATGACTGGTAAGTTCTGCTGGCTAGAGTGGAGCCAGTGCAGGATCCGGGTGGGCCAGTGGGACAGGCTCGAGATGAGTAGATGAGTGAGACTGTTTCCATGAAGTCTATAGAGGGCCTATAGGGGTCGGGGTGTTCCAAGTGGCATTGGGCCCCAAAAAACCGCATGTGTTCCAGGTGTTTTATCTCCGAACAGAATAACGCCACATTATCGCAGAAGTGTTTGGTCATGTTCCATACTGACTGATGGATCGATAGCGAATGCTTCCAGGATGGCGAACAGGTCATCGTGCACAGTGGTGACCTGAAGAACCTCCGGGCCTCAGTCACCAAAGCCATCTTCGGAATTCTGGTTGCAGAGATCCTTCGGTTGGTCGGTGTCATGGTGGGAGTTTTTTCACCGATCGCCATCTGATGTTGAAGAGATGCCCTCCAACGAACACATCACACGGAAGTGGATGGCACCACCTGTTTGTAAAAGAAACTGAGCTTGAAAAGCGGCCCATGTTTTTGTCAGAGGGTACACTCCCTGAAATCAACAGTTTTTCAGTGGAGTTCACCACCTGCTGCCAGGTCTTCTTTCACAGGGTCATGGAAGAATTCTGGACTACGCCAGGTAGACATGAACCCATGAGAATTCCCAGGGGCCTGAAGTGTTTCCCAAGTGTCTTCTTCAGACTCCCAACGGTATCCGTGTTTCAGACTCCCACTCGGTATCCGGGAGTCAGGCTGTCATTCGGAGTCAACACATCAGGAGTAGTGCCTACCAGCTGGAAAACAGGTCACCTGGCTACAAGGACAACCCTACACTATACTTCTTATAGGTCTCCAGACAGGACACCCATTGGAAGCGCGCGAGTGCCAACAGAATTCGTGTTGGTAATCCTTTCGACCATGTCCTGCCGCTTCATCCGCCTCCAGGATCGCCCACGGTGCTGATCCGACCGCTGAACGTGGACGTCACGAGCGAGTTGTCCATCGCGAACTCGCGGTTGTGCAGCTGGGCAGTGTGTGGCCGCGGATCATCAAAGGATGCCCAGTTCGAAGCCCTGGAAAAAGGATGAAACCCAGACACGACTCATGGGACTGCCATAGGACTGCCGCCCCAGAAAGACCCCCTTTTCCACCTTTTTTTCTTGGTTTGATCGGCAGTCCTATGGCAGTCCTATTAGTCGTGTTTGGGAAAGAGGAAGAAACAGATGAACACCCATTGGGCCAGGGGAGTGGCCATTGGGCCAGGGGGGTGGCACATATAGTTGATTAAGACATCCTGAGCCTGGTTGATTGGGGGTTGATGGGCCATACTCGCGGCGACCTTGGCTGGAAACGGTTTCGAGCCCATTCCAAGAGCGGGGCGCGGGCTGCACGATTTTCCGTTTGGTGGATGGTTCGCTTGGACGCTTGGGTAAAACACCTTCGACTTGGTCCAACGCCCGCGTCGCCCACGGTCATTCTCACAGAGAGAATGTCATGACTCACACGTTTACCTCTACATGTCCTGTGGAACACCAACGTTTGCAAACGCAGGTGCTCCTTTGCATACACAGGTAGCCTAATGATGTCCGCGTTTCTGCCCCGGGGTTTTCTTCATATCAATCACACCTTCTCAGCCTTGACATGCCTTGAAGTCATACCGCTCTTTGCAGATGTTGGACTCTCCGGGGGCCATCGACGGGTGCAAACCCGTCGGCGTTCAGCCGACGCGTCGACGTCCCGTGTGGGGTCACTGTCATGCATCGCGACTCGAGTGACAGCTACTGGGCTGTGAGCTTTGGTGTGCCTCCTCCTTTCTTCCAAGAAGCTCCTGGATAGCAATGGTTTGTTCACCTCATTGACTCGACTCATGTTCATTATAATGATTTATTCGCGACTCGAGGCAAGTACTTCGAGATTGGCGACTACGTCACCGTGATGTCCGGCGACCATGTGGGTGACGCTGGGCATGTGGAGCAGGCAAGACTGGCGAGACTCCGGCGAGACGCTCCGACATCCACCAGCCGAACCTCCAGCAGCCCCTCACCGGCGACCTGTGAGCATCTTCCTTTACAGTGGTTTCGGCGTAGATGGCACAAAGCCCTACTCTCCCGCAAACTAACATGGAACCTGAGAATTGACCGGTGGTTTCGACCATTTTCCTCTACAACCCATGGTTTTGGGGTTCCATGTGGTCCTTTGCGGGGGAGTAGATATCTTAGACAGATGGGGGTCTGGATCTTTTGGGGTAACTTGTGCCATTGAAATCATTAATCCTCTCAATCCACAACCCAACTGCGATTGGTTTCCGCCACGATTCGTGGCCGGAACTGACCAGTCGACTTGTGAGTTTGAACGCTTCTTCTTAGGGTGCATTTCTTACGGCCTTTCCGTTACACCCGTTCCGTCAGACCGAACGAAACGGGGAGGTGGAGCTGGGACCCTCTAAGACGTGGGGTTCCCATGCCACCGCCCGCATCCTGACCGCGGACTACAGCTCGTTCCGGGCCTCTTTGAATGATCCTTGGCCGAGAAGAAGGAGACGGGGGATGAGAGATGAGAGGTGGATGAAATATGAGGTGTGAAGGTGCCTTTTTGGGACGATCCAACAAATCCAACTATTGTAAAGGTTGTTTCAGTTTCATGGATTCTTATTTCTTATGGTATTATGCGGTATTATAACAATCTACCGTGTGCTGTGCTAACGCCGCTTTTTGATAGCCATCCTCCAAGTAAAGCACTGCAAGATAAAACCGATAGAGCCTCATTCAAAGCTACAACCTCCATCTAAGCGGAGGTCCATGTACACTACAAAATGACAGAGAGATACAGAGAGTATACTCTGCACTAGTGAGGTTGGGACTTGTGAAATGGCTGTGCAAATTTCGAAGTTCCATCTCATGTGTTTCCAAGTGTGTCCACAACTCCCATCTCATCATGCATCTACTATCAACATCAAGAACAGTTGAGGGTAGCTGTGCTTATCTCTTTGAATTGGTGTATTCCAATCGGGGACACTGGTGAGAAGAAGGCAGAAGAAACAACGACAGCCAGACAAGCGGAAGTGGGAAAAAGATCCGTGCAGTGGAGCTCACCTTTAAACAAATAAACACATCTATATGGCCAGTATAACTCCTATCTCATGTGTTCTTGAATGTTTTCAGTCAACTTTTCTCGGACACGTGTGTCAAGACTTGTGCAACAAACAACCCGTCTCATAATTGGTACAACTCTTATCTCATTTGGGGGTAGTATAATGATGAGTAATGTAATGATGGATTAGTCGAACATGTTTGAAATTGTTTCAACAGACGCGCGGAGGACGTTTAGCCTTGCAGCATCCCTTTCCTGTGATCGAGTGGGCAGGCTAGGCGAGTAATCCGACTGGTTCATTCATAGCTAATATTCACCACAATGGTTGGCCGATCGTGGATGAGCAGATCTATACCTACACTCCCTGAAATAGTCATGGAAGTGGAATTTGTCCTCCACCTCTAGAGGTGGTTGTAGTGTCCACTTCCGTGATCATTTCAACAAGTGTACTGTTTGGAACGGAACAATCTGTTTGAAATGCCGGGTTCAGGGCTGACCTTGGGGAATTCTTCCATGAAATGCCAGGTTCAAGATGGTTCAAGTATAAATCCTGGATTTCTTCACCACATCCCTCCTGGATTTCTTCAGACCCTCAACACCATCCTTCCGCTGTTGACTTGGGTCGCTCCCGCCCATCCCCGCCGTCACCCCGCCATCCCATGTCGTCACCCCTCCTCACCCAGGACCTGCGGCGGAGCCGGCAAAAGCCCGAGAGCCACCAAAAGGTGGGAGAATTCCGTGTCGGACAATTGGTGTCCTGGGCGCATTTGATGGGGACCAGGGACCAGGTCAGTGGTTTTGGAGGGAGAGAGTGGCGCTGGGCAAGTGTGTGGGTGTGTTTGACGCGACGGGCGGAAAGGAGAACTCATGGGGCGGGCGAGGGGGTGTGTAATTATAGATTAGATATGATGCTGTGTGGATCTGTGTGGGAGTTCCTGTCAGAGTGATGTCCAGAGCCATCCTGGCTGTTCCTAGGTTTAAAGTCTAGGACTCCGCTGTCCTGCTCGTGCTTCACCTCCACAAATGATTCTTCTGGAACTATGCAGATCCTGGGATGGATCCCTGCACAACAAATGACACGCTCTTCCTACGATTCGATTTTAATATTTTAGGTTCAGGTGCGTATGTTTCATGACACAGTCTGCCTACGATTCAATGTTAGCTTCGGGTGTGTATGTTTCGTGACTGCGGAACTAACTCTCCACAGAGAGAGAGAGGGAGACAGCAAGCGAGCGCTGAGCACTCAGGTCGCAGGTCCAAGGCAACTCAGCAGAGGTCAACCCAGACTTCTCAAGTCACAATCACCGTGGTTGTCACTGCTTCATCTCCCCAAACACCGCCCCAACCACCCCCAACCTACCAAAAGCACGGTCGGTGAGGTGATGGTCGCTGGTCAAGACACCCGTGCAATCATCGTCCGATTGGAGGCGGCGGCGGCGTGTTTTGTTCTTTTGCGGCGGACGCGGGTGTCAAGTGATGGACAAATCAAGTAGACTCCAACCCTTCATGTGTGAAATATATTGTGATATTAGGATATATATATATTTATACGGTCATATATTAGGTCATATATACGGTCGTAAATGTAAGGAAAACATGATGGTCCACGACCACTTCGCCCACAAGATTCCAGTCCCTTGGTTTACCTTTAATTTGTTGCCAGATTGTTTGTGCCTGCAGGCTGCCTGCAGGGCCTCCAGAATAAGGAATCATGTTTTTGGATCGTCGATCCCGTGATTGGAACCACAATCCAGAACGGCGCTAACCCAAACCGGCAAGGTGGTGAATAAGTAGGCTACAGCCCAGCCAGATGATTTGTCCAACTTCTTTTTTGCTTGGAAGAGTCGGCGCGGGACATTGCGCCAATTCCATCCAATTCCACTTACAGCGCCTGTTCCAATTGAGTTGTGTTCAGGGACCTGCAACCAATGCCTGCTGGAGCTTCTTTGTTTTTCCATCTCTGAGCGTTTTGTGCATAAACACAAACAGTGCGATGAGGATGTCAATTGGAAAGTTGGTCTTGACAGTGCTGCAGGTCGCCATTGGCACGTACTTCTGTGCGAAAAACGTGCCTTTTTGTGTGCCACAAAAACGAGGCAGTCTATCTAAAACAATAACATCTATACTTTGCACGGGTGGTAGATATACATGTCATGTTGCTTGAGTGTTTTTGTCGAAATCCCCACCCCCCCTCGCATCATTCTCGTGCGCTGAACGCGAGGCCGGTGACCGTGCCATGGTCCTGGGTCCAAATGCGCGCAAGACATATGTAAGCCTAGCCGAGCTTCAGCCTGTGCAGCTGCCCAGAAGATGCTTGGAGGAATGTGAATGTGGGAGAGGGAGCTAGAGGCAGCGAACAGAGGCAGGCCAGTGAATTGCCACGGCATATCTGGTGTTTTGGGACTTTGGGACCAACATGCCCCGGAACCTGCCACTGGTGCCGAAACACATGACACTAAAGCACATCCCAAATGACCCCCCCACTGCGCCCACACTGCAGCTCTCTACAATTACAAACACCCAACCTTATAACACCATATATCACAGATGACCGACACCACACTTTGCCACATCAGGAATCAACGCGCACTGCATTACGTTGGAACTTGCAGTATCATGCAGTATCATCTACCCTTCATGACATCAACACAAACACAATCAAACACATCGACTTGCCAAGTATCACATTTTTTTCACCACGAATCAACACATCCCCTAGTTTTATCTTTGTAGGGTTTCTGCCTGTCGACCCTGCCAGAGCTTGTCAGCTTGTCCGGAATATAGATAATATACAATTACTTTGGATTGGCACAGTGGCCACTGGCTTTCGCAAAGTCCTTATCCATGGTTCTTTAGGCTGGAACACCTCCAATATGTACTTGGCGGTGCTAGCAAGTTCCTACCAATCCATTCTTTCAATGTGGCGTTCTTGGGTCATCTAGTTGTACCTACCCTGCACTACTCGTGCCACGGTGCGAGGTCGTGTGCTCTCCTGCTTTTCCTCCAGAATCCGTGTCTCACACCCTTCGAGCGTCAAGTCGACTCCTGAGGATCAATTTACAAACTTCATAGCTGGTGCGAGGACAAGAAGCAACATCGCTTGGTGCCGGGCTGCGTGGTGAAAGCTCCCCAGAGCTACAGCGGTGCCAGGGCTGCACCTCTAGAAATGGTTATATGTTATCGGCTGCGAGCTTGAGGTCCGGAGTGTGTTTCTGTTCCCAAGTAGCTCTTGGTCGTGGTTCTTGCTGATTGAATATTATTCCCACACAATTTCGATCAACAAGTGCCTTCGTTGTTTGTTGCAATTGCAGTTGGCAAGATCGCCCACTTGAGAGATTAGTGCGGAAAATGCCGTGTTTCTTCAACGGGAGGGCCAACAATTGCTCAAATGTCTATCCGGCGTGTTTATCTGCCAAATGCCAACCATTTCAAGCCAACTGTGCATACTGGGTCCTTGCTCAATGCCCTAGCGCTGCTGGAAAAAAGCATTGCAGCACATGGAATGCTGAAAATAACTCAACAACTAAATCATTAAAGAGATGAACGCCCCCTATTTGAGATAGATTTGATCATTCTGAATTACTCAGATGGACTTGATGTCATCCATCTGCAGTGATATCTCAGGTGTTTTCCCCAGATTTGCTCCGACGATCTCGTCCTTCTTCGTCCTTCCCAGGTGGCTTTCCAGTGACTAGCGAAGTGCTCTACATCCACCAGGGTTGGGTCTTCTTGCGCGCCATCGAGGGCCTCGTGGGCGAACGCGCCTACTTGGTCGCCCCGGGGGACAAATGCGAATACGCCACTGGGACGGCGTACAACGCGAGTACAACGGGATCCGGAGGGTTCTGAAGGACAGAAGGTGAGTACAGCATGGTACGCCTGAAAGACGGGATGTTTGGAGGATGGACATTTGAGAGATCTGATCTCTTTGCAGGGGAAATGTCTCTTCTGGCAGGCGAAGTTACGTATACTATAGGATAGATCCTGCATACGCTGGGCAGGCCGGTCCTAAGCCGATGGGTCGAGCTGCTTGTTGGAACCTGAGGTTTGGGACCCGGATGACTTGCCCAAAGGCAAAGGACGAGGCAAGGGCGGGCAGAGAATGAAGATCAAAATTCCCGAGAAGACGGAGGAGGAACTCTCGTCCAAGACGTCGCCTAGAGAAGGACGGTTTTTTTGGGGATGGCAGGGTGGAGGAGAGGAGATGGCAGGTGCTTGCAGGGTGTTCATCTACTGACCGGTTTAGTGTAAAAAGGATTTTCTTGAGAGATGCTGCACACTGGTCTCCCACGAGCAGCAAGAAGAAGAAGAAGACAGTGACAGCATGACCACACGAACGATTGTCTCTCCGTCTCTCCCCTTGTGAATTGGATCCTTGAGACTAAGTATAGGGATCAAGTATGATGAATTCAGCAACCCGCCAAAAATGGTTCCCGAGGTGTGCGAAGCTCATGCGAAGCCTAATTTGAAGTCGGTAGGGCCAGGTAGTTTGCCTCGCATGGTCCTTGCTTGGAACCCTATTAGCTCTGGGAACTATTGGATGCAGAGGTTCTGGATGTGATGGAATGGTGCAATGATCTCTGTCGACCTGGTACCGCTCCAGGTGTTTTTCTTTTTTAATGACCCTTTTCAAGGGAAAATGATTGATCATGGGAAAATCCAATGTTATATGTTATATAATATATAATAATATGTTGTTATATAGTCAACCCCCAGTGGGAAGAAGATCGGTCATCAGAAAGTCAACAAGACACCTTCACTTGGCCATAGCTTTCAAGCATCCTTATTGAAGGATAGCATGTTCCAACCCCTCAAGCACATCTATAATGATGGGATATGATGGGATATGATATAATATGATTTTATTCAGCATGGCCACTGTACATGTTTGACAGGCCAGCCTTGATGAAGCCAACGTCTATCCTGGCCCAGGTTCTCCTTCGGCATCAAGATGGCCTCGCAACTGTCTTTCCTACGGCCCACCTGGTACAAGCCCCTCGGGCGGAAGTGACGCGATCCGCTTTGGCATGGAGTGGTGCTCGGTGGTGCCCTATTCTGCTGACTGGTCTGACGAAAGTAGGGAATGAGAATGACCCGTCACTTTGTGGGATTAGCCTTCAGAGACCATCAAATCGAAAGGTTGACGTGGTGTTGTAGTCTAAAAATCCTTGCGGATCCTGGCGGATTTTTTGGAATCCGTCGCCACTACACATTTCCTTACTCAGATCGGCCGCCTCCTCCTCTAGGCAGATCGGCCTCTCTGAGCGGCAGAGGGGCGGCCCCACTGGGGGCATCTTGTCCCGGGGAAGTTCGGTGAAGATCACCGGCGGCAACTACAAGGCGCGGTCCGCGCGCACCCCGCACGCCGAGCCTGGCCCGATCCGATCGTGCCTGGCCCGGGCTGCGGGATTGGGAGTGGGACAGGTGGAATCGGTGGTTTTGGGCGGAGGAGGGGGGAACTGAGGGGGAAGTGGGAAAGCATGTGTTTTTCAATGAGGTTTTGTCGAGAAAGTTTTGTTTTGGTTGGTTGTCTTAACAAGGGGGAGGGTGGGACGAGCGAAATGATTGTTTTGGTTTTGAAAGATCCAAAAGCCCGAGGGTTTTGGGTGGGCCCCGTGGGCGACGGGTTCATTGCACGCCTTTTGTTCTTCACAAGGTGGTTATCTGCGCACGGTGGGTTTTGGCCACCAGGATTCATTTGAGGCTATGTGTAGAGTTGCCACTATGGTGATCACCAGGGAGGTTTTTTCAGTCATGCGCATCAAGCGTTTCACCAAGGGTGTGGGAGACAGTCCATTTGCAGCTCAGATGTTGGACATGAACTTGCAGCTCAGAAGTTGGAAGGGTCATCGGGACACATAAATGTATGAAACACATGTACCCGCATTTGCATACATTAGCAGACATGTATGAAATCACCCCTCCCTTGGTAGACTTGGACCGGGTGATTTGGAAGGTAACTCATAGTTGACGCGTTGCTCTTTGTGGCCGAGACTCTCATGACAGGTCTTTTGTGCTCTTTGTGGGCTTCTTGTGTTTTGTTAAGCGTGCTACACAGAAACAGAAGGTGCCAGATGCTTAGGAGCAAAGCAGGAACGATCCTGTTTCTGTGCGATTCTTCTTCAATACCGGCAACTATGCGTTTACAATGCAAAAGTTGGTAGTATAAGACTATTCTCATGATTTGCAGTTTACCCCTCTATATACTAGCCATCCACATTTTCAGGCAAGAGGATGTGCCAAATAACCCCATCCCCGGGTCCTGCAAATGTGAGAACTGCGGCTGCAGGGCATGCGGGGAGAGATCCGCGATTTGCTAGAGGATCGCGTCCGGATTTCCTTGTTGCCCCTTGGTATGGCTGGCCCTCGATGACCATGCAAATGGGTGGGTCTTGGGTCTTGAGTGTTTGTCCATGGGTGTGGTCGGCACTGACGCCCTAGTTCTCCGCGAGTGATTGGGGTCCACCATCTGGAATGTTATGCAGGCCCAAGAGGTTGATTGCTGCATCCGTGCCAGAAGTCTTTCAAGGCCTCTGAAGCTGGGGAGAAATTCCTTGAAGCGGTTGGACGTTCAATCAACTGAGCCAATCCGGAAGGAGATGTCGAACAGGTCGCAGGCACCTTAGTCTTGGTCGCAGTCTGGGTTTCTGGATCCAGGAGGCGCCCGTAAGAGCAGGCAACCCAGACACTCCCTGAAACTGGCACATTTATGCCTAGTTACTGCATGGTTTTTGAAAAGGGGTCACTAGGGCGGCATGGCATGTACTGGCATTGCAGTCCCATCAGTGGTGTTTTCGGAAAGACATTTGATTCGCGTCACGGTCTCCCCCAGACGATGTTCCACGGGCTTGTTCTCGAACGGAGCAGACGGACCAGTTGGGCAGCTCCATGAGTTGGAGCCACCAGAGTCCTTAGTAGCGTCCTTATACTATATAGTAGTGACCTTGTTACTAGTATAGCTTCTTCCTAGTAGCTATTTGCTCCTAGTGACTAGTGTGCATCCACTTGGGGCTCCTTGGATCGTTATTTCGACCTGTCTCCGGTGGGCAGGTCTGGCAAGTCCAGCCTTCTCTGAGGTCTGCACCGAAGCTCGTGGAAGTGTCGGTGAACGATGTCCGTGAGGACGACTACACGATGCAGATCGAGAGCGATCACCTGAGGGTTGGCGACCTAGTCCGGTGGGTATTCTGTGTAGGGACCTGGTAGGCAGTTGCATCCACACGAAGGACCGAAAGACCTGAGCCCGACTCCTTTCGCTTTCAGGACGGCATCGTCCTTCATCAGGATCGCAAGGTTTTGAAGTCTATCAACAACCCATTGTTAGATTCTTAGATGTCAGCCGATCTACCCCACCGTCCCGGACTCTCGGTTTAACTTGCATATTTACCCCTTCAGGCGTTGCACCGGAGCTTTGTTCTTTCTTTTGGAAAACGTCGGGACCGAGGCGTGAACAATGGTCTTCCTCACCGACCGTAGTTGACACTCTCAAGACATGTCAAAACCTTGCGTCAAACATGGCATCGGATTTCTCACATTTTCTCGCCCAGGGGGCCACATACAGAGCTGGGCCTCGCACACCGAGCGCCGCACCCATGCCAGCGCCAAAGGCCGGTGGCGGGGTTGACCGTAGGGACGTGGGGACCCGGTCGGTCACAGCCCGCGTGTCGAAGCGGCCAGGTGAAAAGCCAGAAATCACTGCCAAACCCATGAGGCAAGTGACCAAACAGCCTGACCCAGGTCCAAACCTGGTCCAAAGTAGTGCTTTTGCATTACCAACTCCAGTGAGGTCAAACTGACCTATAGGGAAATATATCAAAATATAGGAGGAAGTGTCCGACTCTCGCTGAAGCAGCCCGGTCTTTGAGTCATACGCCCAACAGCCGGGGTACAGGTGCACTTGTATTCTATATGCATTGTGTTAACGGTAATGATCACCCAGGCCCTCGACATGTCCCGCATTCGGTTTGCCAGCGAGGTGAAGAAGAGCGCGGAGCAAGAAATTGCAGATGGCATCGATAAGGTCCCCATGCCTACTGATGATCAGGCCCAGTGTAGGGATGTGGCCGCTATGTAAGCTTGCTGACCCCGCTAATGTTCAGCAAGCTTCGGTCGTAGCTGCGGGCAGGAAGATTTGGTTCTGACAGATCTCTGGAAAAGGGCACCCGAGACTACAGCAGATGCTTCCACATGTCCATTTTCTGGCCACATCCTTTATCCAGGCACGTTGCTTGGAACTTCGGACCCAATTGTCCGACAGACCAACACCCTATAATTGTCCAGCAATCAGTTCCAAGTCCAGGATGCCCCACCCCCACCCACCAAGTTCTCATCCGACGGCATCGCCGAGGCCTGGGACCCCTTGTGGTTGGAGCTGGGCTCCGGCGACACCTCTGCGCCCATCACGCCCGCGCTGTCGATCGTCTCCACCAGCCGCCGCCGGCGGAAGACGCGGCTTGATGCCAACCTCATGGCCGAGACCGAGGCGGGAGATGAGACCAGAGGAGAGGTCCGGTGCGACCGGCGTTTCAGCTTTAGAATCCGAGCCCCAACCAACACAATAGGGTTTTGAGATGCTTGGTTCGGCTCCGTTCCACCCTGGGTAAGAGGTCGGGCACGACCCCTGGCATTTTGAGGGAAGCACTGCAGAGAGCGCTGGATTTTTAAGAAGACCTGGTGACCGACCGTCGAGTGACGATTTGGATCGACTGGGAGGTGGGAGCGATCTTTTGGGGGTATTCTATAGTTCAAGCATGTTCAAGCAGCAATCTTGGAAATTGGGGAACGCGTTTCAATGACGCGGCCACAAGCAAACTGGTAGGATTGTATGCATGAAGTTTAAGCCAGGTGTCCAGCCTTGATTGATCATCAACCACCTAGCTTTGGAAATCTTTGGATGGAGCATGGGGAATCTCCTGTGGGCTTGTTGCCACGTCATAATATCGTACTATACTATTAACCTTCAGTTTCACAACTGTGGGCTTTGGAGGCCGCTGGACCGTCCGTCGGACCGGTTCCTCATCTAACAGAAAACAACACCGCATCCGCAGCGCCCAGGCCGTCGCTGCTGCCTGAGATCACCTGAATCGACGCCAATGCCTGCCTACCGACTCGGTGGCCGACCCCAACGGTCGAGTGCGTCCGACAAAGAGTCCGGCTGTTGGGAATCGCAGGGAATTGTTTGTTCAATTCTTTGAGGGGGGCTGCGCCAAACATCCAAAACCGAAGTATTTTTTTGAA